TTCTAGAGGGAGGCTTTCTTAATGGAGAGGGGCAAGGTTCTCATTGATCATGTGAGACCCAGAAATACTGCTGTGAAAATACAGTCAATACTGCCACAACCACATTATATCATACTGATCCACATCCAATAACATCCTTTCAAAAGATGGGGGGGGAAATATAGAAAGGAAAGAAGCTCCAGATAAGCAAAGCATTATTGAAAAACAACAGTCATAGGAGGCCTCACACTAATGTACTCAAAACAGCTTGGAACTGGTACAGCAAACAAACAGACCAAGGGAACAAAATTGAGAACCCAGGCATCTATCCATCCATGCTTGGACAACTCATCTTCAGTAAAGGGCCAAAGTACAATTAATAGGGAACAGATAGTATCTTTAACAAATGATGCCAGCAAAACTGGATGTCTGTCTATAAAAAAGTAACACAAGATCCATTACCTCACATCATACCAAAAAAAATTCTTAAAGTGTATTAAAGACGTAAATATAAAAGAAAAATGATAAAGACCATAGGAGGAAAAATAGACAATCCGCTAGGGCATGATCTCTCCTTGTGTGAAGCAAAGAGAAAAATTAGACTCAAGGAAACCGTCAGGGGATGAATGGGCCCTAGAAATCTCAGCCTACACTAGTCTGAAACAAGAAGACTCAGTAGGTGCCTGGCTACCACTCCTGACAGCTCTGATTATAATCAAAATAGAAAGTTCCTGGACAGAGTGGGAGGAAAATATACACCAAAATTAAAAATTAGGAAAAAACTAGACTCATTTAGGGAGCTCTGATTAGTGGTAAGATGGGAAGTCTCCTCCTGTGTGATTTACTGCCTCTGAAAAATCCCTGGGTAGCTGTGGGTAGGTTCTAATTCAAAGGCAACCACCACCATCACCACCACCACCATTTGGTCTGATAAACATTGGTGAAACTGCCAACACAGGCCCTCAGACACTCTTCAGACCTAGCTAGGAACCCATCCCTGACAGCCAAACAATAGACATTTTTACCCCAGAACTTGAGTTCAAGGTCCAAGACCTTGAGTTCAAGGTCTTGGAGCTCTTGGATTCCAAAAAAGGAGAGGGAGACCCTTTTAAAAGGAAGCTTAGTCAGCAAAGGGGAACCTACAGGGGTTTCTCAGTCCTCTCAAGTGTCTGATATATAGGAAAGAGAAACAAAGGCTGAGAGACAGTAATCAGTAGGCTTGCAGATATCTCATTGTGAATATTTTTCTTAAATATCTTTCCAGTGCTGGTTACCACTTGACCAGCTTGGAAACACTAAGGTTTTATCTCTTCCTGCCAGTCCAGACATCAGATGTCTGATTGAAAGTTCTGTGATAACTGGATCCTGTTCTGCAATGTTCCAAGCACTCCTTTCCTAATTAAGTTTACAGTAAATCAACGTAGGGTTAGTTATAAAAAAGTAAAAATGTTGCTTATTTGCCAATACCTCCCCTCAAAAGACATATAAAATAAATAGTGGCATCTGTGAGAAACATTCTCAGATCAACTATAAATGACAAAAAAGGTAGCCCTTGCTCTAATTAAAGTTTCTCAAGGCCAGAAAGAAGGATGAATGGAAATGGGGAGCCCAGGGCAGAAATGGGAAGAGTTTATTACAGTGAGGGGATTTCAACTAATGTTACAAATGTATTTAAATTGTTGAATAGGAAACTTATGATCTGTAAATTTTTATCCAAATCACACCCTGTACCCCCTAATTGGTTAAAAAAAAGGGTAAAAAAGATAAATACTGTTGTGACTTTTTCTAGAAGGGAGAAAAAGGAAAAGCCTGGAGAGTCTGCTCTGGGCACATAACTCACATCCTTCCCACATGCAAAATGTATTTACTCTCTTGCCTCTTGAAGTCTCATCCCATGCTGGCATCATCCGGCTCAGTCAGGCTTGGGTTTATTAAGTCCATGTTTAGTTGAAATTGCTTAGGGGCAGTTTTTGTGAGGACAACCCACTGAATATCATCTCCCAAGATCTGACTGCCTGTGAACTAAAGAAATAAATTATCTGCCCACTTCCCCACCAACCAACATACAATAGCAAGGCACCTGAAAACCTTCCCATTCTAAAAGAGGGAGAATTAGAGGCACATATTAGGCACTGTTGTTACGTGCCAGCATATAGCGACCCTGTGAACCTAGGATTTGAACTCTGTTCGGTCTGCACTATCTTCACACTTTGACACACGAGCTCATTGCAGCAGTCACCGTGTCAGTCCACCTTGAAAGACTTTCTCTCCTTCACCAACCCTCCATCCTTACCAGCATCGTGTCCTTCTCCAAGGAATATCCCCGCCTAGCAACATGCCTAAAGTAGGTGAGGTGAAACCTCATCATTCTTGTCTCCAAAGAGCACTCTCGCTGCACCTCTTCAAGACATACCTGTTCTTTCGGCCATCCATGGGATATTTAGTGCTCTTCTCCAACACCACAGCTCAAAGGTGTCAATTCTTTTTCTGTCATCCTTATGCAGTGTCCAGCTCTCAGATGTATTGCAAACAACTGGAAAGACTATGGTCTGAATCAGGTGCACCTTAGTCCTCAAACTGACATAATTACTCTTCAATAATTTGGAGAGGTCCCTAACTGCAGATTTTTCCAGTGCAATGTGACCTCTTATTTCCTGGCTGCAGGTATCAAGGGTCTTAATTAGAAGGCACTAGTTCATGGTGGTTGTTGTTATGTGCCATTGAGTCACTTGTGACTCATAGTGACCCTATGTACAACAGCGCTAAACCCTGCTCTATCATGTGCCAATCTCACTGCCTCTGACACACCCATCCCGATTACCCCAGTCACTGAATCAATCCACCTCATAGAGGGTCTTCCCCTTCTGCGCCGTCCCTCCACCCTGCCAAGCATGATGTTCCTCTCCAAGGACCTCTCCCTCCTTACAACATGTCCAAAGTATGTCAGATGAAGTCTCAGAATCCTTGCCTCCAAGGAGCAGCCTGGTCTAACCCTCTCCAGGATGAATCTGTTTGTTTTCTTGGCAGTCCAGGGTACATTCAATATTCTTCTCAAGCACCACAGCTCAAAGGCATCAATTCTCCTTCTATACTCCTTAGTCATTGTCCAACTCTCTGATGCATAACAAGTGATTGCAAAGACCATAGCCTGTATCAGATGCACCTTAACACCACTGCTCTTCAGTACCCTGGAGAGGTCCTTAACAGCAGACTTTCCCATCGCAATACATTTTTTGATTTCCTGGTTACTGGTGCCAAGAGTGTTGACCGTGGAGCCAAGCAGTCTAAAGTTGTTAACAATCTCAATCTCTTCACCATCTATCCTGATGCTGCCAGTTGGTCCAGTGGTGAGAATCTTTGTCTTCTTAACATTGAGCTTCAATCCATATATTTTGTTCCTAGCTGGTCTTTTCTATTCTTATCTCTTTAAATACCATCCATACATTCTCTGGTGGCCTAGTGGCAAGGAACTGTGCTGTTAACCCAAAAACATGCAGTTTGAATCTTCTAGCTGCTCTGTGGGAGAAGGAGGGCAGTCTCCTCCTGCATGATTTACTGCCTCTAAAAACCCACTGGAGGGTCAGATATGGGTTGGTTCTGACTCCACAGCATCAGACATTCTTAAGGGATGTTTGGTGGCTTAGTTGTAAAGAACAGTCCTGTCAGCCCAAAGGTGTGCAGTTTGAATCCACCAACTGCTCCATGGGAGAAAGATGGGCAGTCTCTTCCCAAGAGATTTACTGTCTCTGATAATCCCGTAGAGGGGGAGCTATAGGTATATTCTGACTTGATGCTACACAGTAACAACAACCTACATTCTTAACACCAGAGTTTCCTGTCCTGAGCTTCACATTAGAATATCCAGTTAACCACTTGACAATTCCAGTAGGATATTTTAGATTTTACATGTTAAAATGAAAACTCCCCATACACACACCTTACCTATTACTTCCACAAATGGATTAATCTTCGGATTTCTCCATCTCTGTAAGTAATGCCACCTTTCACCTCAAACCAAAACCCTAAGGACTTAGCCATGATTATTTTATCTACCTCATCTCTGTAGCTAATTATCAGCAAGTTCTAGAATTTCTTTCTCTAAAATATACACATTTTAAAAAGAAATCTTATCAGGATTGCAGTATTACTGGTCACCCTGTTGTAACATTGTTCCTTTTGATACAGCCATCAAAGTAATATTTGAAGTCTTAAAATCTTGTTTTTTATTAAGTGCCATCAAGTCAAGTATGACTCATCACAACCCAGTGAACAACAGAGCTGAACCCTGTCCAATCCTGTGCCATCCTCATCATTTGTGATATACTTGAGCCTATTGCTTCAGTTACTCTCTTAATCCATTTAGTTGAGGGTCTTCCTCTTATGCCAGTCCTCCACTTTTCCAAGCATGCTGTCCCTCTTGAAAGAATAGCCTCTCCTAGCAAAATGCTTTACTATGGTCTTAAAGGACCACATGACCAAACTTCTTTTCTCATCCCTCTGACCTTATCTCCTGTCACTTCCCCATCCAATATACTTCATCTCTCTTGGGCTTCTTCCAGTTCTTTGTACACAGCAAGCTCTCAAAGAGAGTCCGTACATACTGTTTTTCCCTCTGCCTGAAATATGCTTGCCCAGCTTCCCAACCTCCATATGACTCTCATCCTGTACGATATGGAATTCCTCACAAGTCTATCTTAAATAGGCACCTCCCTCATTATTTATTCCCTTTACAAAGCTTACTCTCTTATTTACTTTTTAATAATTTGTCTTCTTAAGTAGATAAAAACCCCACACTTAATCAGGGACCATGCCGGAGTTATACACACGCACACACACAAATATATTCCATATACATATTCCAGTTGTTTAGAAGAATACCTAACTAAATAAATCTTTGTTGACTATTGTTTAAAGGCATTATTTTGTCTTGAGACAATATATTAACAATCAGTGAATGTTAATAATCTTAAATGTATTGCTTCCTGATTCTTCTTTAAAGTAGTCTTTTATTTTTCTTTCAGTAACTGCCCTTCCTTTTTGGCTGCTGCTTTAGCCAGAGCCACATCAGATGAAGTCCTTCAGAGTGATCTCTCTGCACATTATATACCAAAGGAAATGGATGGCACAGAAGGGACTGTGGGTGAGTGCCTCTCTAAGCTATTTGTTTAAAAATAGGAAAATTTTTGTTTAGTGAGCCACACAAAATGTCTGTAAAATATTATACCAAATTGGGGATTTACTCATGTTAATGATATAGTAGTAGCAGGAGAAATAATGTTTGTTTATGTGTGTGTATGTGTGTGCATGTGTGTATGCATATATACACACACACATATACATATATGTATGTATGTAATATATAAATAGGGAACTCTGGTGGCCTAGTGGCAAGAACCTGCACTGCAATCCCAAAGGTATGCGGTTTGAATCCACCAATTACTCCACGGGAGAAGGATGAGCAATCTCTTCTCATGTGATTAACTGCCTCTGAAAATTCACCAGAGGGTCAGCTATGGATTGATTCCAACTCTATGGTACACAGCAACAACAATATGTAAATAAATTAATATACACATACACATATCTTGGTGAAAAGAGAGAAGTGGAGAAATACAGACGTAGCTTAAAAAAATACAGTGGTGGATGAAAGGTAACGAGTAACAGAAGTTGTCATAAATATTATCTGGATATATCGTTTGACATGTATATGAATACAACAGAAAAGATGACTAATGAGGAGAAGCAGAGTTTTAAGAAAACCCATTTAATGTTTTAGCTTACCTTCAAGAATCATAGTAAAATATGACATAAGAAACTCCAAGAAATCATTTGTAACAAAACTTATTAAGTTTTCTCATAGTGTTCCTTCTATATATATTTTACAGCCTCTAAAAAAATCCACTGGACGGTCAGCTATCAGTTCTGACTTGATGGCACTGCAAGTTGAAAATTTTTTCTAAATAAATGAGATTAAATTGCATGGCTCATTGTATCTTTTTTCGCCTAGGCATATTATGAACCTTTGATTAGTAGTGAACACATTTATTAGTGTATTAGGTTTATGCATGCTGGACAGACTCTAAAGAAATACTACAGTATTTTTAAAATATGAGTTATAATTCAAAATGTTAAGTAGTTTTAACATTCTACACTATTTCTTTTCTTTTAAGCATTTACTTTTAAATATAATCCATAAGAGCAGCTAGATTCCAGAAAATGTGAGAAAAATATAAAAGTAAACATTCTTGCTCTTCCTTTAGATTTTTGACAGAAAATTAACAAGGAATGAATTCCTCTGCTTGCTTTTATTGATAACAACTGATTCACCATGAACTGAGTTGTTCCAGTGTCAAATTGGATGGAATTCCTGCTACAATGCCCTGGTGTTTCCTCTAGTACTGTTGCATAAAGTAAAAGCCCTGTAATGAAAAGAGGGAGATTAAATTCTGCTTCACTGCAGCCAGGATGATGGCTGACTCAGCTCCCGCTCAGTACAATGACATTAACGGCTGATGAGTAATTTACAGCTGTGAGGGGGTGGATTGCTACTTTGGACAATTTTCTTTTTCGCACCCCCTTTTTATTTTATTTTTCCATTTCAAATAGCTATTATTTATGTCCTGATGGCCTATAGCATCCCCTGTAGATGGAGACTATTTAATGTAGCAACACTAAGGTGTTTCTTACATGCCTGCTTTGGTTGATGGATATCATTGGTCATTCTGATTCTGTGTTTTTCCAAGAGATTACCACTGGACATTTCTGAATCAGACGGTGAGTCAGACTGATCCACTGTAATTCAGAACCATTTGCAAACCCTTAATCAATTTAAGAGCAATCTCTTCAGTGTGAGCTGCACTGAGGAGACTCTGCAGGGCCTGTCCTGTTTATCCTACATCAGCTTGGGGAACTGAGCATATGAATAAGGCCAGCTGCCTTTAAGTCCCCATCTTTGTCCCTTTATTTTATTGTTGTCAAAAACTGACACTTTATTTAAAAATCCTTCACTTAAAATTCTTCTCATGTTTACCTCACCCCTAACAGTAACCTTGATAAATCATATGACTTGGTTCAAATTCAGATTAGCAGTTACAACTTCTGTCCAGACTATCTGAAACCAATTTAAATATCCCAGTGTAACAATCAGAAACAAGAAGGGGGAATGATATTAATACAGGCGATATTAAAAATAATTAATGAAAACTTTGTGGGAATACATATATAAATCTCTACACAGTCTCTAGAGATATATAAATTAAATTAAGTTTATATAAGGAAAAACAAAACAAAAAAGGTCAAGGACTTGTCTAGCTCATCAGGGTTAAGTGCCAGTGATTCTATGGGTGAGTATTTTCAAACTGTCAAAAGCAGATAATTTCAATTATTTTTATACTGCCTTAGATGAAAAAGAGAAAGTAAGATAAATTTCTTAAGTGAAATGTTTATATAGAGTTGTTTTACTGTTGTTGTACTGTAAGTCAGAACGACCCCATGGCCAGCCCTCCAACAGGTTTTCAGAAGCATTAAGTTGCACAGGAGGAGATTGTCCATCTTTCTCCCACAGAGCAACTGGTAGGTTGAAACCATGAGCCTTCTAATTGGTAGCACAAGTCCTTAGCCACCAGAGCTCCCTGTATAGAGATTACAACAGTTAGTCAGTGTTGCACTGAAGATCTTACCATAGTTTCAGCAGGGAATAAAACAAAAATATCTGGAACTCTCTTGCCATAACATAAATTAATAGCAAAAGACATAATTATTTCTAAATAAGTAAAAAAAAGTTTGATGTCATTATCTGTTCTTAGTTTTAAAAATTCTTAAAATAGGAGTAGATGAGCACATCTTGGACATAGGAGGATAAAATCTGGCATTTAAACTTAATAATGATAAAGAATTCTCATTATATCACTCAAGAATTTTTTTACTGAAAATATAAGATCAATTGGTGTCTGCAAAAAAACAAAATTATTGGCTAACCTCCAGGTTTAGGGTGACTTTAAGCATAGCTAGGTCCAAGGAATAAAATGATACCATTAGGGCTTGGCATTTAACCAACTCTCAGCTCTATTTTATTTTCAGGCTTCATGGGACTAAGATGCCTTATCTTATTGGGATACCAGGTCCTCATCTGCTCAGGCTCAAGTTCAGCAAGAAAAAAAGCAAACAAACAAAAATCCAAATGGGTAGCTTTTCTCAGTTGTTCCTATGGAAGTCCCAGGCCTCACTCCAACTGTGTCAACTTGGATCATTTACCATTTCTGAACCAATCACTACAGCCTCAAAATGTGACTACTTTAATTAACTCTCAAACGCACTGCAGAATCATAGCTGACCCTCAGGGTTCCAGAGGCTCTAAATCGTACAGGAGGAGACTGCCCATCTATCTTCCAATTGGCTAGACCCAAAATACATTTTCTACCCCTACATGCACATGAAAGAAGGAATAATGATTGCTAGGTGGCAAATTAGCACATTAAAGCAAGGTTCTAATGCAAAAGAACCAAACAGAGAAAATAAATAGGAATGTATGGATTAAGAAATATGAAGGACTAATATTGAAATTGCATCGAGCAATATAAAAAGTGGATTTAAATTAATGAGAGTGTAACTTGTTCCAAGATAAGACTAAATATGGAAAGGATGCCAATTTTTCCTAAATTGGTCTACAAATGCAGTGTCATCCCATTCACAGTGCCTACAAGTTTCCTCCAACATTTGACCAAATGAAGTTCATGTGGGAAAAGAAACATGGTGAAATAGAAGCAAAGTCTTGGATTTTTAATTCCACAGTCTAAAAGTGAAACTGGCTTTAATTATTTATGAAATATTGTGGAGTCCCTAGAAAATACTCAGAAAGTGTGATTTGTCATAAAATACAGTGAAAATTTTAAGAGACTTGAAAAAGTGAAATGTGGCATAAAGATCTAGTTTCACTAGATCTTTATGATACTGCTTCCCTTAGCCAACTTAACTGGGTTCCATCAGTACTGCCACTAATTCGGAGATGATGAAAATGCTCTCTGGCTGCATTGGCCAGTGCAGTAGTTAGTCGTTATGTGTGGTTATTGAGCACCTGAAATATTGTTAATGGAAACAAGGAACTAAATTTCAGATGTCATTTAGTTTAAATCTAAATAACCACATGTGGCTCGTGGCTACCTGGCTGGACAGTGGAGGTCTGTATAACAAAAATTATATACAACAATGATACAAAAGTTTATATTATTATCTGGAAATCCAGGAACTGTCCTGAAAGTTATTACACTTGTTTCACCCTACTCTTTCTTCCACTCAAAGTTCTGAATTTGCTGGATTGTCTTGCTGTGATTAAGTCAAACAGCTCATCATCTCATTTAGGGGCAGAGGGCAGCAAGCTGCTGCGGGGACCCATGTGAGTTAGTGTTACAAGGAACGGTTGGCAGGAAGAGGGAGACTCTGGCGACTGGTGCTTAAAAAAAAAGTAGAGTTGCTCAAAACAGTAAAAATGTTGGCTTTTCTGTTGGCCCTAGCTTCCCTCTTTTACCCACCTACTTGGCCTATATTTGCTCTCTGAATGTCTTTTCTCTTTCGAGTATATTAACAATTCTCAGTTAAACAAAAATGTTAAGGGAGGCAAAGCCACAAAACACGCTTTACCCCCGTTCTTGGTTTGACAGGGGTGGGGAACGGAGGAAGAAGCAACAAAAGCCTTGAGGTCAGCATTCTGAATATAGAGATTTCTACCAAAGATTTTGATTAATGAGAAAGAATGATCATAAAACAAAGCAAAGGCATGGCCGGAAACAAACAGGCAATGGGAATCCAAGTTCCGGGGCTGTTCTAGAACATTTCGTTTCTCTCATTTAGGATTTGTGTTCTAGACTGGAGGAAGTACATGCAGCCACTGCCCATCTGGCAGGCGTTTTCCTCAGGCTGTCAGGTTACATCTCATTTAGTTTAGGGTTTTTTGGTGGTTTTTTTTTTAAAGATAAAAACAGAGTTCTGAATTCTCACATTGAGTGTGGAGGAATGTCTCAAATGCCTGAGAAAACCTCGTGTCTCCTACAACTTATATGGAGGGCTTAATAATGTAAAAGACATTTCAAGAGTCACCTACTACTTACTACTATGATTAAGATGTCAGACAATGGTCTCAGTAGTCAAGGGTGAAGAATCCTATTTCTTCTGACTGCTTGTTTCCTTTTTTCTACCCAGGGACACACATAAAGTTAAAGTTAACTTTCAGGATACATTAAGTCCTTAGACAACAAAATATAAACGCTTAAATTAACACTATCCACAAACTTTAATCTTTAATAAGTGTATAAATAGATAAATTTAAGTTCAGGCTGGAGGTAAAGGCAAATGAGGAAGAAAGGAAGAGACAAAACTGGCCATCAAGAGAAATTCTCATTCCTGTAGTTTGTAAATGATGTTTTTCATAGGAGCTCTGTGTTCCAGCCAATCACTGTTGATGGTTACGTCCTCCTCACCACAGGAGGCTTGGCTGTCCAGTCGACAGTCATGCACACGAGGGAGCCGTGCTCAGAACTGGACAACAGTGACCAGAGCGGTCATCCGGGTTTGAAAACAGTCGGGCCTACGAATAGATCCAGCTCTGGCCAGAGGTTCCCCCCTCATGACACGAGGTTATGTTAGAGCAAGTACCGACTGATGCTTTTTCTACTAGATTAGCTGTCATTTTCTCTCTTCAGAAGCAGCATTTCATTTCTCTTGAGACGGATGAATTTCTTCTATTAAAGAGGAGCTTGACTAAAGTGACCTACTTCTGTCTTTACTGAGCAGGCAAGTGAAAAGCCGATTTACAAGGCTCTTCATTGGGGGTTTCTGTGTTTCTTTCAGAGGTTGAGACAGTGAAATTGGCCCGCTCTGTCTTCAGTAAACTCCACGAGATTTGCTGCAGCTGGGTGAAAGACTTCCCTCTCCGCAGGAGGCCCCAGCTCTATTATGAGACATCAATTCATGCCATCAAAAACATGCGCAGGAAAATGGAGGACAAACATGTCTGCATTCCTGACTTTAATATGCTCTTCAACCTAGAGGTAAAGGGCACTTCCAGAGTTAGTCTGAAAAACAACAAAAACTGCCATGGTCCTATTAGAAAAGGACAACTTCTAATGTATTCATTCCTCCTGGTATCTCTGGTCAGAGGAGGGCTGAGGGCTAAATGGCACAAATTTGCTAATATCCAACAACAAAGGAGTATTTAGGTATTATTTTGAATAGGTAATTCATTCACATGGTTTAAAATTGGGAGGAGGGAAACAAAACCCAAACCTTTCTCTCTGGTCCTTGTCTCTAGGACTTAGTCTCTCCCCCAGCGAAAGCAGGGAAAGTTGGCAAATTCTTGTGTAATCTGCCTGAGCTGTTCTAGAAAGTAAGCAAAAAATCAAACTACTATGTCCCTAAATAAAGCGACTTTTAAAAGAAACTATTTCTATAATATAACCAAGTGGTGTTCCACATTACTATGTTGCTAAAGCAACACCAAATACAAACATAAGAGAATGAGTTTGAGGCTGAAACAGTTTTCTGATTTCATGTGGTTCCTTTCTTTTTTTATATATATTCTTGGTCTCTGAGATGGGAAAGCAGCTGCAATTACATTTCATGAATCTGTCTGACTGACAAATTAGATCCATATGAGTCTTGTCAGTTTAATAACCATTTTCTTGTTACCATTCTCTACTTTTTCTATTAAGTGTATTATGCAAATGCAAACAAAGGTAGGTGTGTTTCCTTTCCCTGTCACTTACCTATATTCTTCACTTAAGTCCATAACATAAAAATTACCATGGAGTAGCTTTTATAGAGTACAACATTTCCTTCATTTAGCAGCTAACCTTAAGTTGTAGTTGTCAGGGTCTAAACAGCAGTGATGATGGTGGGTTGGTAATTAGTGCTTATGTTATAAAAATAGATCAACTGATATCTTTGTTTCCAAAGGTTACCATCCCCATGCAAATGTAACCCAAGAGGCTGTTGTGTGATAAACAAGTCTTAGGAAGATTATACTCATTACTGCTGTTACTGACTTGGTTAGTGTTAATTTATCTCATTTCAAAATCAGCCAGAAAGTCTTAACTGAGAGCACCTTGCTAAAATAAAACAGCCTTTGACTGCAGTTTGGTAATATGTATTTAGAACTTTCATAAAATTTTATGTCCTTTGATCTGGTAATTTCACTTTTAATTCCTTATGATAATCAATTAGAAAGGCCAAACAGTTTACATATGTTTTGTTTGACACAGCAATTATAATAAAAAGATTTGGAAAAGCTTTTAATAATTAAGGGAATTGCTAACTGATATGATCAGAAGGTGTACAATACCTACATGTTGAAAATGCCTGAATAATTTAGTAACATGAGAAAATGCAAATAATAGTAGATGACAAAAGCAGAATATAAGATTTCATATAGAGTTAATTATCATTTAATTAAAATGTATAAATAAAAAGTCTATAGTTATGAGATTACCACTGATACTCTTTCCATTCACATGTCTCTATTTTATCTTTAAATAATCAGTTAAAAAAAAGGGTAATTTTTTTAAAGACACTATTGAGAGACCACCTGGCTTCTCTGTGCTTTGTTTGGTGGTGTATTATCTCAGACTCCCCCTGAGTTCTATTACAGTTACAGTTCGTTTCTTTTACCCCTAGAAAGCTCCTTTACCCCTCCCTGCTTGTGATGAGCCGACCTCAGCTCTTACCAGTTAAAAACTATTATGTTGGAGGAAGTACCACCAGGGTGCTCTTTAGCGGCAAGGATGGTGAAATGTCATCTTCTGTGTTTTGGGGGTGTTGTATTGCGGGAAAGTAGAGGACCCGAGAAAGAGAAGAGGAGCCCTCAGCAGGATCGCCTGCTCAGTGACTATACCAGTGGGCTTGAGCATGATGGCGATGGGAGCATGGTGCCCGGTAGGGCAAGGTCTCAGTCTGTTCACAGGGTCCCTGCAAGTTGTAGTTAATTTGAAAGCATCTAAGAAAAACTTGGATATGCTTGGTTTTTAAATGTTCACCCTTATTTTGCCCAATTGTTTTAAAATGAGTACTGCTTTGGTACAGTTTCCAAATAGCAGGATTTTAGACAACTGTCAGTTAATCTTCAATGGCTTTTATAGATGATATTGATTAAACTGCAAAATGAAATCGTTACCATGCCTGCATTAGATATTGCTGTAATTAGGTGCCGTTTAGTTGATTTTGATTCCTATGGCCCCATGTGACCAAGTTCACCTTTCTCCTGTGGAGATTTTGGGTGGGTTCCAGTTGTCGACTTTTTGGTGAACAGTCAGGTACTTAACCATTACACCATCAGGGCTCCTTTTATTAGGTTTAGATTTAATTTTATTTTGATTTTTCATTACAATGGGCATAAATATTTGATACGTGTATAATTATCTTTTAAAGGAACTTTGTTTCAAAGTATAGATCTACCTATTGTTTTAGTAGTCCTAATCTCCTGAGGTCGTACTTCATTCCCAAGAGAAATACGCACAAAACAATAGTATGATCTACTTGAGATTCAGGGTCTGGACTCCCCCAGAGCAATTAGAGCCCAGATTAAAAAAAAAAAAAAGACAGTAAAGACTTGCAAATAAAGTGATCATATACTGTTTCCTGACAGGAGGCCGGGCCGGTGAGGAAACAGTGAGTCACATATCTTCTCAGTGAGGTAGCTCAGATATTTAAACCCTGGAGTTGATGATGAAGCAGCAAACATCCTTATAGTTTGAATGTAACTTTATGATTAGGATTCTTCTGTCACGACAAAGCCCAGGCTAGGGAGACCCTCCTCTAACAGCTGCTTTTAAGCATCAGGCAGCAAATGGGCAGAGGAAGTGTGAGGCTAATAAATCTTGGATCATGGGGTGAGACAAAGGGCATTTGGGATATATGATGTGGTTATTCAGCTTTGGTTTAGCTTAGCTAGGCTTTGTGCTATTTATGGTGAGAATTCAATGTGATCATGAATGGTTTATAAAGAAGGTATTATAATTGTGAAGTGTGTATATGCTTTCATATCTCCATATATTTTAAACAACCTGAGCATAATTGGCTTTGTGCTGGAAGGCAAATTACTTATTATTTCTAGGTTCTAATATATTATTAAAGTACTTGAGTTTGGAAAAAAAAGCACTCAGTGCAGAACAGTGTTGCTCAATTCCTTCTATTTTTTTCTTCCCCTTCTCCACCACTTGTAAGAGCAATTTTAAAGCAAATGCTTGTGGATGGTTTTCAGGGCACAACAACTTTCACAGAGAGAGGGCACTTCTGCTTGAGCTAATTGGGCATGATGTGTTCCAGTATTGTTGTATATAAACACAGATGCCCAAATATTGCAGGTATTTCTGCAGCTGGTCAGGCATGTTAGAAAAAGGAACCATTAGTCGTCTCCTCGGTGGCAAATGCATTGTTTCCAGAGGATGGGCTCACTGGAGTCACGCTCAACCAAACACCATTAACTGCTGTGTTTCTATTGACAGGACCAGGAAGAACAAGCCTACTTTGCAGTGTTTGATGGTCACGGTGGCGTGGATGCTGCTATCTATGCCTCCATTCACCTCCATGTTAATTTAGTCCGCCAGGAGATGTTCCCCCATGATCCCGCTGAGGCCTTATGCCGGGCTTTCCGGGTCACTGATGAGCGGTTTGTACAGAAAGCAGCCCGGGAGGTATGCCGTTTTCTCATAAATGCGTGCACTAGCCTAGTTCACCCTGGCCTATGACTAATGAGCTATATTCAGGAGCTTCTCTCTATGGGCAGATTTTCCTCAAGTTCTCTTCCAGCCTGCAGTATTGTTGTTAGATGCTGCAGAGTCAATTCCAGATCATAGGAAGCACCATGTAAATGGGAATAAACCTGCCCCGATCCTGCACTGTCCCCAAAGTCAGTGCTGTGCCTGAGCCCAGTGTTCTAATGCATCACAGTGAGGGGCTTTCTCTCCTTCGCTGACCCTCTGCTTTTCCAAGCATGATGTCATTATTACTTCAGAGTGCTGGAGTCGATGTTTATTAGTCTAATTCCCTTCTCAGGAACAAGTGTTTTGGTAAGGCACAATGAGATACTGGATATAAACTCTCAAGCTACATAGTTTCCTAGAGGGTTCTTTGCTGGAATTGGCAGGTCAGTTTTATCTCTCATATTCACCACTGTCTGTCAAGTTTATACCAGGACCATCTTGCTGAATTGACTCTTGCTCATAAAATCTGGATATAGAATTAAAACAATGGCCAAAGAAGAGAAGCTAGGATTACTCTTCTACTTCTGGTTCTGATGCATGGGAAGTGTTGCGCTGTACATCTTGAAGGAAAATTTGATTGGAGAGGATGAATCTTTACATGATCCTTGAACTGCTTTTCTTTGTAACAGGAAGAAAAGTCAGAGCTTCTTTGTTCTCCTGTTAAAGTTAATCAGAGTTCAATTTCTTACCCTAAAAGAGTGATAGAGACTCTATATTAAGACATAAAAGAAAGATTATCATTTCATTAATTACTCTTGGTATGTAATTATCTACAGTATTGTCCAATCCAACTAATAGTGACCCGAATGTACAAGAGCAGGAAACCCTGCCCGGCCTGCACCACCCTCCGTCTCTGCTGGCTTACACCGTGGGAGACACTGGTCTAGCCCATCTCATCGAGGGGCTTCCTCTTCTTTGCTGGCCCTCTACTTTTCCAAGTAATTGTATTTTTAACGAGGGACTAATAGAAAAACATTTTCCAATTTTAAAAATAATTATAGATCTTACTATACATGGGGGGTGGGGAAGAAAGGAGTCCTGGTGGCACAGCACATAACATATTGGAAAGGTCAGTGGTTCGAATCTACCAGCCACTCTGAGGAGGATGATTAGGCAGCATTTTCCTGCAAGAAACCTCAGAAACCTTATGGTCACTTGTGAGTGGGAATCAACAATTCAGCAGTGAATGAACTGAGAGAATAGAAGATTCTTGCTCTATTACTTAAAAATGAACTATCCCTGAAATGGAATTAGAGAACAAAGTATTTAATGCCATCCATATGCCACAGTGGGCTTTGGAATTAATGATGAAGAAATTGGGGGAAATGAGCAAGGGAAATGTCTATATATTTCACTCTTTTGGATCCTAAAGGTAGGATTAATATATAAATCCAAAACCAGTACCTACTAGAATCCACATACAGAGGTGGGACGAGAAAGCAAAATGCAGTTCCTGTACTCCCGGAGTCTCTTGTGGATCGGTGTTCTGCATGCTCTCATCCTTATGAATGGCCAGACCACAGGCACGTGATCTGCAATCACCAGCATGAAAACTTAAGAGTTACTATCACCCTTATCCTCTGCCCTACTGGTTTTCCCGTGTCCTCAAAATTATGGCTCCCCCACCCCCCCGCCCCAACCATGTTCATTTGCTTTGTCTATGAGTCTGGTGTCTCTTAAGTTCTGCCAGTAGTTCTCTGTGATCTGAAATGAGCTGAGCTCGTCTCAGCAGTTACTTCGCTCCTTCTTGTGTTTCCATGTGCTGCCAACTGCTGGGAAGCAAGTAGCTATTCCTGTGGTGCAGCAGCCCTGCCTCCTGTTCTCTCTGGGGCATATGCACCGACGTGTCTTTATCATGGATTCCAGGGGGCTGAGTTTTTGAATGTTCTGTGTGGGAAGACATTTTATTGGTGGGTGAGGATTTATAACAAACTTTCCCCATATAGGGAAAATGAGAAGTTGTTTTTCTCACTAGGGGCCTTTTACCACCCTTGACGCACTGGTTCTAATTTAGGCCAGGTCCTTGGTAACAGAAAGTCATGATCATTTGGTGGTGACTCATGTCAAATGGAGATGTCATTTTAGTAGTATCAAGAACTTTTAAGTACTGTGGTACTGAGCTATTGCACTGAAATTCCAGGCTGTTAGTCCTTTATGCAATGTTCAAAAAAGCAAAGGCCGCTAAAAATATTGGAGAGAACTTTTTTTAAAAAAAATGTTATATCAAAGCACTACAGGGAATGGGTGTTATCTCGTGGCTCTTATTATCCAGGACACCAGTGTATTTTTTTCTTGTATCTGTCAGATGCTTTTTTTTTTTTTTTTAGTATATTGCATTGTAAAGCCAGGAGATTCGCTGCCCCCAGCCACACAGTAGGTCAGTGACAAAACAGAGACCAGAACAGGACATAGCTTGGTCTATTTAGCATTGAGCGAAGAAGAAAAAGAACCTCAGTTCATTCAGGAGCTATTCATATAGCCTGCCATACTCATCTATATGTAAAATAAGATAAACCTCCCTGCATAACATTCCTTAAAGGTCAGTTGGATTCATGTGTCTGAAAATACATTGAAAACTAGATGACTAGATGCTTGTCAAATTGCATTCTCGGTAGTCCAGGTCCCATTTGAGGAGTTTCTATTAACCACAGATTGCTTTTAAAAGAAAATTTGATGTTTATCTTCACTGACTCATAATTTTATCTAAATTCTTTTCAGAGCTTAAGATGTGGGACCACAGGCGTGGTGACTTTTATAAGAGGCAACATGCTACATGTGGCCTGGGTGGGTGATTCCCAGGTTATGCTTGTGAGAAAGGGCCAAGCTGTTGAACTGATGAAGCCACACAAACCAGACAGAGAAGTAAGTATGGCCTGTCCTTCTGGGGGTCCATGCCATTCAAACAGTTCTGTTATGATGAGTTAGGATTCACTCAATTATTAAAATTATTGCTATTATCTCAGCAACTATCCCCACCTTCCAGAGGGAAAATAGAGAGAACCTTTCTGGGAAGATGTTGAGATTATACCTACTATTTACTGTAAAGCAGATGAATAAATCCTGATTCCAGTTATTTGCTTCTTTTTATTGCATTGCTGTTTAGGATGAAAAGCAGCGAATTGAGGCCCTTGGAGGTTGTGTAGTCTGGTTTGGTGCCTGGAGGGTGAATGGAAGTCTATCGGTCTCCAGAGCTATTGGTAGGAAAAACAAATTAATTTTTGTTTCTCCAAACTGCTCTCTTCTTAGCTCATTATATTAACCCTGATACAACAAGAGAACCTAAGATGAACATTCATAGTATCAGATTACTTAGTTTTTACAGTAACAATTAGAGAACATTAGCTATTTGGTAATTATTACCAGTTAACCATCAGGTCAATTCCATGTGAGAGAACTGTTGTGCTTTATGGGTTTTTAAAGACAGAGTCTTGGGAAGTAGGTCACCAGGCCTTTCTTCCAAGGCCCCTCTGCGTGGACTTAAACTGCTGGTCTTTCTAACCAGATACCAGTGGCATCAACTAGGGTCTCTAACTAGTGAGAGAGAAGCCTTTGATCTTTGGAAATAAATCTTAAGCCAAGATAATCTTTATTTTATTCTATTTGGGTCATGGTTAGCTTAAAAACACCATTTCCAATAGAATGAAAGAGTCTTTCCTATTTTACCTTCCTTACGTCTTAAAACTTTTGAAATTAATTTCAAGATGTCATAAGTAGTAGGGAATAAATTACTAGAGAAAAGATTGTGCATTTTAGAGTAATACAGTAATTATGGAACCCTGGTGCATTAATGGTTAAATGCTTAGTGGCTAACTGAAAGGTTAGCAGTTTGAGCCCACCCAGTGGACCTCTGGGAAAATGACCTGGTGAGCTGATTCCAGAAAGATTACAACCTAGAAAACTCTAGAAGTGGTTCAGCTCTGTCACATGGAGTTGTGATGAGTCGACATTAACTCAGCAGTACCCAGTAACAACATAGTAATTTGCCAGAGAACCCTGGAGTAACAAAGATCTTGTCTCCCAGGGACCTAAATCCTTCAAAAGAAAGGGAAAGTCAGTGGAATTTTAAAACTTATGAATTGACTGGTCTATGAAATCAAGCTGTACAATACTGTTCTGTTGTTTTTCTCACTTTGGGCTCTGGGTTCATTATTTTAGACTTCATGGCTTGGTTTCACTTGAGTAAATCAGTATGTGTGTCTGTATGGGCATCAGGCCTATATATTGCAGAACTTATTCTCTGCCTCTCACATTAACAGAAACTTAAAGGATTGATTTGGTTTCAGCACTAATCCAGGTTCCTCTCACCGTTTGGGAAGGTGCTGGCAAGCTGTGAAGTGGCCCAAATAAAAGCAGCAGAAGGCTCAAAGAGAATAGAAAGCCAAGAGATTCTACAAATACCTCCTGGAAAATTGAGAGCTGACTTAACCTTAGACTGAGGGAGTTATTAAGATACTCTGGAATAGGGCCAAAAAGGGAACTTTACTTCTAAAGCACATCCCTATATAAAATTGTTTTTCATAATACCAGAATCTTCTTCCACTTGACCTTACCTGGCAGTCTCCATCAAAGTGTTAAGGAATAGTTTTAGCACCAGTTAAAGACCCAGCTTACTAGATGGCACTTGCCTTTTCTTCTAAAAATACAGCACAGACAAGGAAAAACTAAAGCTGGGGGAGAATGTCCTTGAGCAAGTGGTAATCTCCGCAGGAACACAGGGACTTCCTAGACAAAATGACATTAGTTGATGTGAAGGGTAGTGTTTTGGGAAGGAGGTTCCAGAAGATGGGTGTGCAGATACATGGAGGTTTGAAAGGGCATGGAATGATTTAGAGATGCCAACTGGCACAGACAGCTAGAGCAGTATTGGCATCAGATTGCAAAAGGGCTTATATTCAGGACTAAGTGGTGCAGATGAAAGGCCTGGAAAACGGCTTCAGTAAAGATAACAGAAAGAACACTCCCTTGAACATTTCTATCCTGTAACATGCATGGCCGCCACGAGTCGGAGGCTGGCTCACCGGCATCTAATCACAAGTTGTTTAGGGCACTGTTTAGTTAAATTTAAGCTTAATAATGATTTATGTGCCGTCATCACTACTACATCACTGGAAGCAGGTCTAGAACAGAAAGAGTCCAATTAGGAGATCATTTAAGAGGCTGGGAGTGAAAAGGGTAAGAATTGCTGATATAAGTTGACAGGCTATGCGAGGGAACACTACCTTCCAGGTTTTTGTGTGACAGTGTCGATGACAAAAGGCATTTATAATAAAATAGTAATAGTTTAGGGGCTGGAGAGGAGGGCAGAGAGGGAATTCAGTTTGGACACACTGTTTATTCTAGGTACCTGTGGGATGTCTTGGATGAACGCATTTATATGCAGTTGGAAATACAGATCTAGAGCTTAGCAAGAAGTTCTGGGTTGGATATAGGGGTCTGAGAACTCATCCTATTTTGGCAATGGTAGTAATAAGCTGTAAAGTGATCTATCTATGTATCTCTACACACGTTATTGTTGTTTACCACTGAGTATGAACCAACCCATAGCTGACCCTCCTGCGGGTTTTTCGAAGCAGTTAATCACATGGAAAGAGATCACCCATTCTTCTCCTGCAAAACAGCTGATGAATTCGAACTGTGTGCCTTCGGGATTGCAGTGCAGCTTTTTACCACAGACATGGATGCTACAACCCAGGGAGAATATGTAATGTGAGGAGAGGCCACAGATAAGATTCATTACGTAAGGTAGAAAGAGAGAGAGAGGAGCCAGAGTTCCTGGGTGTGTATTCTACCTTCTGCCACTTCACAAGCTGTGGGTCTTGAAAATGCACTGCACTTCTCTGTGTCTATTTGTGCCTTTGTAAAGTAGGAACAATAGCAGTACCTAGCTCCTGGAGACTCGTATTGAATGCGTAACACATGCAGCACACTTACAGCTGTGCTTGGCATAGTCTTAGCACAAGATGGTTACTGGTGCTTACTGTTATTAAGAGGAGGGGCCAATGATCAGACATACAAGGGAGCTTTATAAGGGAAGCTTGTCAGGAGTCACCAGGCCACAGGGGGCTGAAAAATGACACGAGATTTGGAAATTAGCAAATAACTGGTGACATTTAAGAGAAATGCTTCAGATTAGTAGATAGAAAACAAAAACAAGTGAGGAAGAATGGACAGTAGAGACTTAAAATATTTTATACAGAATTGGTTTCTCAAGCAGTCTGGTGGTGTGGAAGCAGTTTAGAGGGCAAAGCTGATTAGGGAAATAGTTGCTTTTATTTTTAGGATGAGATCTGAGATCTGAGCAGAAGACATGAGGGCAAGTAGGGAAGGAAGTGAAGAGGGAGCAGAGCAGCCAGTGCTCAGTGAACACAGCAACAGCACAGCCCAGCCATGGGAAGGACAGACACAAGGACAGTGCCCTCTCTTGAGAAAACGGTAGCTGTAGAGGAGACTCTACTGACGGGGGGGGGGGGGAAGTGGAGGAGGGGAAAAGCTGAGGTAATTCAATAAACTTTATTTTCATAAAGAAATGAGGCTATCTTACCAAGTCCTAGGAATTTAATTGAATGAGGGAACAAAGGACTGTGGGTAAGACTGGGAAACCCCACAGAATGAATCGGGGCTAAACAGGGACAAGAAAAGGACTCCCAAGCAGTGTAATTCGATTTAGGAAGTACAAGACACTTAAAGCTTGAAAAAGGAAAAGCTTTTCAATTATTTTTTCCCATGAATCCTCCTGATTTATGATCCAAAATTGACAGAGGAATAATGTTTCCTAGCATATGGAGAGAGGAGGTTGAAGACAAAAGGATGTTACCATTTCTATCATGAAATGGATATGCATGCCCTCCTACCAAATTTGGGGGCGAAATGTCATGAATTTGACACCCAACAGCAAAGCAGGTGAAAAGCCAGAATTTTGGCAGCGTTTTCTCTGTGCAAATCTTTGTATGTTCTGTTCCAAACCAACAGTTGCCGTAGCCTCTTAATTGAAGCACTGAAACAAGATTTTTGGGAACAGTATGACTCAGATCACATTTATTTTTAGAAATGGAATTCAGAAAATGATGATGATGATGATGATGGTGATACAGTCAGGTAGAGTAGGAGCAGGGGTAAATGGACTGGCTAGGACACAGAATCCTGTGATTGGGTATTTTCATTAGCTCTGACAGGCTACTGGGAAGCATCATAGTACAGATGTGGGGTTGATGGTTTCCAAACCATGCTGCTGTCACAAATAGTGAAAAACTTAGACATGGGAGAAAAGGGCTTTAAGTCTGAGAATGGAAGGAGAGAAGCCGAGAAATCTGTAGGATCAAAAGATTAGCTTCTTACCTGACAGATATAACCACCCAGGTAATTACATTAAACAGCTCTGTGCTGTTCTGGGATCAGGTCAGTGTGTTGCACAGGAACGTGGCCCCTTTTAGTCCTAGTAGAGCTATCCACAGAGCTCCTCAATTAAACAAGTTGCAAAATGTTGGGACAGAAACCCTAGTAGGGCAGGAAAGAAACTGCAACAGATAATCAGAAACAACGTAAAGTCTGTTTTGTCTCCATTTATCTTCTCTGTCAAAAAGTTCAATTTTATTTCAATGGAAAGGGTGATAATTGATGAAGGCTGAATGTAGGTAGCAAGTGAAAGAGCTGGGATCTGGACCTAGGAAATCTGTTATCTGTGCCAGTTCCCTTAATAGCCATATGCCATCTATCTATTACAAATGATAAAGCACTCTGTGCTTTTGATTTAAAAGAATTCCCATTTACCAGTGAATTATGGTAACTGAAGTATACATTTTTGTTTTCATGCAATTAATTTACATTGTGCTTTATTCATATACATTGTGTTCCATACACTCTGTCATTTACATTGCCTTTCGTACAATCATTCATATATTGTGTATCCCATAAAATCAATTGCCATTGATCCATGGCTATTATTACACCATCCTTTCAAGTCCCCATTAAAGTCTCTGTTGGATCTTTCCTGTAGAATTTTATGCTAAATATTATGCCGTAAAGAGCATATATGCTGAATGAACTTAGTGTCATAAGGATAAATACTGCATAAGACCATTATTGTAAAAATAGGAGAATAACTAGTAAAATGTGTATTAATGTCCCAAAGGGGGAGGGTAAGGGTGGAAACCATTATGATAACAGAATTTAATGGGTGAAGTACACTTTATGTAAAGAAATGAGTATTCCTTTGTTGAGGTCATTAGTTATCTGGTTACTCAACAGGCTAAGGATACTTTTGCTAGCCTCTCTCTTACCACCTACAGGAAAACAATACAGATCTGAAAAGTTCCAAAATGCACTGCAGAATGTCACGTTGCTGAACTGAACTGGAACCTAGGTTCCAGCTCCTTTCCACTCCAAGCACCCGGCACTCTCGCCACGGCATTCTCTTAACCTGCTGGAGCCTTTTCTTTGCTTATGTTGTTCCCTCAATTGAGGACTCTTTTCCGCCTCACATAGCTGACATCTTCTTCAAAGCCTAGATCAAATATCATTCAGAGTGGGTGAGCTAAGCAAGAAAGAGAAAGAAAAGTCCAGTGAGGGTTCTCAGTTAATTGGAAGTGGTACAACAAATAATGGCAATCAAGAGAAGACAGTGGAGTGGTCAAAGACACATGAACAAAAGCAAAAGAAAATGGTAACCCATTAAAAGAGAAAATGGCCCTGGCCATATATCTTTTTTGTTCTGTCATTTAGAAGTTACAAGTGAAGCAGCATTAGCAAGCAAAAAGGAGCCACCCTGGGACCCAGAAGCCTGCATTCAAGTTCCCTCATGTGAGGCCTCACGTCAGCCACAAGGATTATCCTGGCTTGAGGGAGTTAACATTCATGATTTTCAAAAAGTCCATCACATGAGTGTACTGATTTCAAGTATTTGTTGAGTCTAAACAAGGACAGGAAAAAAATTAACAGTTTCATGAAGGGGGTACCAGAGCTTCATATTTTTTTTAATTTTTATTTTTTTTTTTAAATTTTGTGTGAGTATACCGTCAAATCAGATCTGACTGGTACAGGAGGAGATTGCCCCTCCTTCCCCAGGAGAGCATCTGGTGGATTCGAACCGTGCACCTCTGGGATTGTAGTTGCAGCTCCTTGCCACTAGGCCACCAGAGCTCCCCAGAGTTTCATTTTTACAATGTGGATTTGCTTTCAAACCAATCATCAGTAAAAAAACAAAAACCCAACACAGGTCTACTAAATCAACAGCGTTTTCCAATCTAGGCCTGAATTTTTGAGTATAGCAACAAATTTAGATTTAACATTGTTGTTGTTGATCCTTAACCTGGAAAAAAAAAAAAGCTAGAGGAAGCAGCAAGATTCAGATTCAGCCCAGTGATTGGTAATTATTTAACTCAGAGTGAGGCCTAAGAGCATCTGATTAACAGGGACTTCAAATACTGGGTGGAAAGCTAGTTTAGAAATCCTTTCCTTAGACTTTCATAGATTAGTCATGACGCTGGCCGTGAACAAGCAAGCGAGGTAAGCCAAATGCGTAACCTGTGGTATCCTCTGTTCTAATTCTACAGGAGATGCTGAACATAAGCCATATATCTGTGGGGATGCAGACTCTGCCTCTACTGTTTTGGATGGGACTGAAGACTACCTCATTCTGGCCTGTGATGGCTTCTATGACACCGTGAACCCAGATGAGGCAGTGAAAGTTGTGTCTGACCACCTGAAGGAGAACAATGGAGACAGCAGCATGGTCGCCCATAAATTAGTGGCATCAGCTCGTGATGCTGGGTCGAGTGATAACATCACTGTAATTGTGGTATTCCTGAGGGACATGAACAAAGCTGTAAATGTTAGTGAGGAATCAGATTGGACAGAGAACTCTTTTCAAGGAGGGCAAGAAGATGGTGGGGATGATAAGGAGACGCATGGAGAGTGCAAACGCCCTTGGCCTCAGCACCAGTGCTCAGCACCAGCCGATCTAGGCTATGAAGGGCGTGTGGATTCATTCACTGATAGAACTAGTCTGAGCCCAGGGTCCCAAATCAACGTGCTGGAAGACCCAGACTACCTAGATCTCACACAGATAGAAGCAAGCAAACCTCACAGTGCCCACTTTTTGCCACCAGTTGAGATATTTGGTCCAAAGGCACCAAAGAAAGTAGATCTTATTAATGAGCTAATGATGGGAAATATAGCAGTTCACACATCATTGCCTGAATGGAGTGGTACTGGAGCACTTCCTGCTGCTTTTAATTTGGGTTCAACAGGGCAGCAGATACACAGAATGGAGAGCCCGTCTCCTGTGTGTTCTAGATTGGAAAACAAACAGTTCAAATTTCTGGGAAAGAGAGTTTCTAGATTGTCTCATTTACACCACCACTACTCAAAGAGGCGGCACGGATTCAGGTTTAATGCAAGGTTTTATTCATTTCTCTCTGCCCACAAAACAGGCACTTGCCTGTCTTCACTTATCCGAAGTGGGAAGAGAAATAGTATCTTAAGAAGTTCTCTGCAATGGAGGAAAAATAGTTGGAAAGGATACAGTGAAAACATGATGATGCTCAAAAAGAGGATTGATGTCCCACACTCAGATCTTCCCTGGAGCTATAAAATATAATACCTTTTCTTTAAAGTAGGCTAGCTAGCTCTCCCCAATAAAAATACCACCATCAAAGTAGAAACAAGGTAGATATTTTGGAACCATTATGTTCTTCATTATGAATCCATGGATGGCTCAATTCTTACATGTAAATAGACCTCTAGGAACCTCAAAGTACAGTGTTTTCAACCTAAGAAAGTATTGGCAATTTTACCACCAAAATGATATAACAAATCCCTGTGATGTGTCTCCAGCCTACATACAACCTTTCCCGGCAGCAAATCCCTTCACGTCACTAGTGGAAGGTTGGGAGTTAGATTATTTTAGTCAGGATAAAGTGTTGAAATGTCAACAGTTTCAGTCTGGTCTGATGTGCCTAACGTATCCATGGACAACTTAATGCACAATTAAGCTTAATTAGGAAAGGTCCCCCGTGAGCCTGGGGGCAGTGAAGGTGGTTCCTCTTCTGCTTTTTTAAGGGAAGGGGAACACTCAAAGTCATACAGGTTTTAAGAGGTTACAATGAAAGCAGAAAACTAGTGAAAAATGTCATCATCTGACTTTGTGGGGTGGTATAATACTTAAAAGTTTTCATAATACCCCTGCCCCCGTAACATAAGTCAAATTATGAAAAAAACTTTAATTACAATCAATCATTTCCTAGGGCTGTAGTTATCTGGACATTACATAACCTGTTTTGGTGCTTTGGATGGAACTTTCATTATTTGTCCTTGTAGGCGACTGCTGCCAACTGGTTTTCGTATTTTTCACTGTACCTTCATCTCAGGAAAAATACCCAAAGTGGCTTACTGGAGATGATGTCAGGTACAAACACACTAGAATCAAACTGCCACTTCAAAAAGGAAATCAAGTAGTATTTCTATTGTTTCTGCTGCTGCCCCACCTCTCCCTCCAAGCAAGTGAGGTAATAGGTACGAGAGAGGCTAAAGGTGCTGCATGGAGCGAGCTGGCCACACGCCCAGGGCCACACACCCAGGGCCACGCAGATGGTGGACATGCAGGTTCTGCTTAGTTCTAAATGGAGAAAGGGCTGAAGTTTTGTCACCTGCAGTTTAAGAGTGCAGAGAGGACATGTCCTTTTCATTTTGAAATTTATTTGTATTTAGTATTTTTAAATTGTTAGCTTTTTACTATTAATCCTACAGGTTTTGGCCCAAAGTGTATCTTACATTAAAGCCAGCAAATAAACTAGTAATCAGATTCTTGCAGGGAAGGAGCCTATGATTTGTCATGATAATCCTGAACGTCTTCAGGTGACCTGTTCATTTCCCCCAGTTAAGTCTGGGCAAACCAGTGGCGACCAGAGTCACTCAAACTTGAAGATGTACTAAATGCTCTTGCTGAACATGCCCACAGCTTAATCATGTTTTACAGAGTACTATCAATGTTCTATGTTCCCTTTACTCATGACAGAGGACTAAAATTCCTAGATGTTAAAATCATACATGACACAGTGGTAGTATTAGCAAGAAAATAAAAACAGCTTTGTGTTAACAATTATCAGATTGTTAACTTACAGATTTTATTTTTAAAAATTTGGGTGTAAGTAGAGATTTTCAGTATTTTGTTTTCTCCTGACTGTAAAGTCATTTCTTCTCAAGTCTGTGACATAGCTGAAAAGGAGTGAATGTGGCTCCAATTACAGAACTAGAATCTTTCCATCTTTCTGATGCTCTGCCCGATACCTGGACCTCATGCACATCTGTCATTCTCTGAAGCCTAGATCTTGTTACCAACCCATCAGGTGCGGTGTCAGTTTCAAGTCAAATTATCAGAAAAGAACAAAGAGGCAACAGAATATTGGTGCACATTCTAGTCCGAAGCACTTGACTAAGATCCATGTCTCTATTTCTCTAGTTGTCTATTGGTGATAATTTATGATCAGGATGGGCAAGGTGAAAGAAGAGGAAAGTTTAGTGACGGACTTTTTCAATGGGGGGAAAAATGGTTGGATGAAACTGGGATGAACACAGACCACATCTTTCAGGGTATGGTTTTTGTAGCTCTGATGACGTAGGCAGTGTTAACTCCATTATCTCATACCATTAGCCCTCTAGAAAATAAATCAAAGTAGTGCCAGTGTGGTCAAGTTATAAACCAATATTGTAAAAAATAGCAACTCTTCATTTGTTCACAGCATACATATTTATAGAGTAGTTAGGTACCATTTGTAAGGTAAGTCCTTTACAATTCTATAATACGTATTAAAGTAGTGGTTCTTGATCTGACATATGCTGCTCTTAACTCTCTAAACTAGATGAGCAGCAGTGCTTTGTGAAATGCAGTCTTCTATCTTAATGCCACTGGTGATAGGAATTAGTTCCCTTCAGTTCAAACTCCTGTGCCCTTATCTGCTGCTTGCTGACGTAAGCAATAAGTACCCCTCTAATGGTATCTACACTTTTCTGTAATTTGTATTTAATGATGGTGTATCTGGTGACTGTAAAAATATTAGATATAAAAGTCTCTATATAATATATATTAACTGTTAATGCTGAGGTATAGTCTGTGAATTATGTGTTTTGTACTTATTTGTGTAAGTTAGTGATGGTGAAAGTTCGAAACTCATTCCTTAAAGAGCTGCAGTATTACCCTTTTTCAACTTAACATGATCTGCATCAATTATGTTTGCCTGCTAAACAAGTTTTGTTAGACTAGAAAATAGTAAAACATATAAAAAGAAAGCTTAGTACTGGTTAGGGAAAGACTTCCAGTCACCAGCTGAAGTCATTATAAACTCCTTGTACATTCACTGTGAGTTTCAAAGGGAGTCAGTGCCTGATTTAAAGGTTTTCTTTGTTCACTTTCTAGATGTGTACTTTCGACGAATACCAGAGGTTACGCAACCTTCTAGCACCAAATGCTAGGGCTGTCAGTCCCATTAGGTTTGTACAAAAGAGGATGGGTGGAAACTTATGTATATATCTTTTCTTTACCTAGAAGTGCCATCTATTATCCTTGAATTAGTAAGACTATAAAGTTCCTGTTGCATTTCACTTTGCTAGGAGGATCCTTGAGAGTAATGACTTTGCCAGGGATAATGTTAACCATGTCAATGTCAACGCCGAGTCTAATTCTGACCATATTTACAGCGGTCAAGTGTCAACACTGCATTTTCATGACTACAACACTCCACTGTGGGAACACTGTGCCAGTGAGAAGTGCAACATGCAATGGGCAGATGAAAATGATAATACTCAGTTACAGATGAAACGTACATGGTTTCAGTACTCCCCCTCCCCCCCCCCCGCGCCAAAGGCTCACTGCTAAGGCTCTGTGAGAGTGTGATCTACAGTATTTTCATTTTCAAAACGAATTTGTTCAATGAACATTTCTCACTTAAGCAAGGCCATCAAAATGGGATACTAAAAAAGGACCCTTTTTTTCACCTTTAAAAATCCTGTGATGTTATAGGAAAAATGCCTACTCTTTTGTTCTGACCTGCAAAAGCTTTAATAAGAGTGTTCATCAAAGCAAAATAAGATACTGCCAGTATTATAACTATTTTCCAGACAAATGGGAACTGTGTTGAAAAATATTTCTTTACCTTACTCCCTCAAGCAGCATTTTATCTTCTCTAAGACTGTTTGCTGTTGTGATTAGAAAATACAAAATAGGGGAGAGGATTTGGAACTCCAGACAGACAGCAGTTGTTCTTAACATAAAAACAACTCCAACATTAAACTGATGTGTTAGATAATGCACAGATGCATCACTGTTCACTATTACTCTAGGTGCTCTTTGGTGAGAGATAGGCTTTGTTCTTTTGTTTATGACATTTTTTTTTTCCAAAGATTTCCCTATGGAGTGAAGTGGATGAGATAAATCATTTCTACCAAGTGAATTTATTAATTTACAAACCTTCTCTACAGCTCACTTTTGAGTTTGGTTGTAAACATGAGTGATCTTTCATATTTTATTTATTAAAACTGTTCATTCAGGTAAAGAGTATGTTGAAATTTTGCCAATATCTTAATAAAACCCAGCAATTTAAAACTACTTATAATTTGTCTTTTTATTTAAAAGTAAGTTATTTAGGGATAAAATTAGTACAGTGTCCTTCAGAATTGAAAGGAAAATCCTGATGATGATGTACCTTCTTAAATCTCAAGTAGGATTCTTTTAAAAAGAATTTACTAAATGCTGCCAAAATTAGTATTTTCCCTAGAAAATGTGAAAGAGCTACTTAATGATGTACATCTTCTGCACATAAGTTTAATTAGGCATTAGAAATTAAGAGGGACTGGTATTCTAAAATAGAAGAGGAACCCAGGAAAAGGGTAGGTGAAATCTCAACTGCAGTATATTTTTGACACACAGTCCAACCCTTCAGTTCATCATCTCTTGTCCCCCTAACAAAATACTCAGGTAAGCTACGGCAAATCTGTGTGCAGGATTGCTCTTACAGTAACAGACCTAAAGAGTCAGATGATGAGCCCGGAGAGCAGAAGAGGACAGGATGGAACCACCAAGCAAGACAACTACATCCAACGAAAACTTGGGTCTATGCAAAAGGAATGACCTCGGAAAGATAAGTCTAGTGAGGGGACTCCATTGTGAGCCTCTTAGCCCGCTACTAAGTCCTCACAAAGAACCTTTTATTCACTAAACTCATTTAGCACTTGGCTTGACTTTATATAGAACCTCAAAAGGCAAGAAGTTTTTATATATTTGAAGGGGCTTGTGAAAGCAGGGAGAATGACTAGAACATTTTGAAAAGTACTATTTTATACTTTTTAAGACCCGATCTATCTAAAATACAGTATTACTTTCTTAGTTTGTAAAAAACTATGTTGTTTTTTTCCTCTGGGCAGCAGTACCCACAAGTGAATGATTAAAGCACAGACAACACAAAATTGTAAATTGGGCTTCATCAAAATTAAAAATGTTAGAATTCAAACGTCTCTATAAAGAGATGAAAAAAATTTGATAAACTGGGACTAAATATTAAGACTTGATTAATATATTTTAAATTTTATAAATTTTACCTGACTAAA